TTGATTTGATTTGGAGACATATAGCTCCTTTAAAGGCTTTAATTATAAGTAAGAGTTAATAATTATCTTATACAGTACCTTGTTAAAGAGCTAATAATTATCTCATACAACACCTTGTTAACTTACAGCATCTCCTTCGACTTGCTGTCAATATAATTTAAATCTCTCATCACATAAAGCCTTGAGAGGCTTTCCACTCCATCAATGCTTTGAAATATGTCAATCACATAGAAAGGAACAATAAATTTTTCCTTGAGGTATTCTTTAGTGCTTTATGTGATATTTGAGAATTAAAACTCATAAAAATATGCAACCCTGTACATGAAGGACTTCACTTTTAGGATTAATAAGCATAGGGCCGCCACTTCTTGCGATATTTGTAAATCCAATATCAAGCAAGTTCCACATGCCATTGATGTTAAGCAGTGAATAGAGAGTTCAATCTAACAATGTAAGCAACACTGATTGATTATTAATCACCACACCAGTGACAAATAAGAAATGCATAAAACCTTGTGACATTAATCACCACACCAGTGACAAAACAGAAATGCATAAGATCTAGCATGTCACCTTTTAGTGTAACACTTTATGTGTATAAATAGAATTTCAACATCATCTAGAATTTTAAGGTTTGTACACCAAACAAAAAAAAAGACAGTTTGCTGGAATTGATATGAAAAAAAATGACTAATATATTTTTACAATTAACTAAAACAACTACTAAAATGTTGCTTAGTACGAGATCATATATATTTGATGTTATAAAATTAATTTATTGTTAGTTTCTTTTAGACATGACTAACCACCTTTTTGACAAAAAAAATTCTCTCAATAATTGCACTTGCAATAATATGTACAAGAGCTAATTTTTAAAGAGACAGACAAATGGATATAAAATATCTTTTTAGATTTTATTTTGAAATATTTTATGAAACTCTTAAAATAGTTTACAATAATTTTCTCCAAATATCTTAAGATCTTGAGCTTTTCAATTAAAAATCTATTTATAACTTTACAGTAAATAAAAATTCATAAATGAAAAATGTAAAGTAATTTTATCTTACATAGTCTCAATTTTTTTTATCAACTAACACATGTAAAAAAACCAACATTCTAATTAACTATGTAATTAATCAAAAAAATAATTAAAAAATAAATTGATATTGAAATGAGACAAAAAAAAGTATCAAGTCATGTCCAAGTTTTGTTGAACGTTCATCAACTAGTTAAATAAATAAATAATCTTTAAATTTTAAGTTGAACTCCTTAAAATTTAAAAAGCATAAGATTAGTATTGGCTTTGGTTAGGAATTGATACTAATTGTATAAATCTTAAAATTCAAAAAATATGAGGCAAGTTTTGAAATTTACTTAATACTAGTTCAAAGAGTATATATCGTTTATCACATTTTTCATTGAATTAACCTTATATACACTGGTAGTATGCATACAATTATGGTTGAATGAATGCCACATATGTAAAATTTAGATTTCAAATTAAATTCAACATGTGTAGCATCCATCCAAGTAATGAAATACTTTAAACAATGTCTTTATTTTCTTTGTTATGACAGTTAGAATGAGTAATACGATAATTAACCATAAATCATCAATTTTTTCCTTGTTGCTTGATTTTTCTTCTTCTTCTTCCGAGTTTCATTCTTTTCTAGTTTGATAAGACTTTTTCCTTTTGAGAATTGTTTTGATTTACACATTGATTCATTATAATTATGTTCCTTGTAATTTAATTTATAAATATTTTTAAGATATTACACTTCATCTTTCTTCTTTTCATATTAAGTTAGATTTATAATCATCCTAGTTATTTTGTATAGATTACTAACAGTTATTTCTCTGATTTGGCAAATGCTCTTGTTGTTGTGTTATTGTTAGGTTTTATTTATTTTTCAAAGTTATTATTTTCTTCAAACCGTGTGTTTTTGAAATCTATCCTCTCTTTTATACTTTTTTGTGCAATTTTTAAATGGCAATTTGTTTGTCAAATCTCTTGTTGGTGTGCTCAGTGTGGACTATAAATTGACGGATGAATTATCTAGATTTTTGGCTAAAGTCTACCCAAAACTTGTGCAATATGGGCAGAATTATTTGTATGTACCAAGGTTACCTAATAAAGTTACTTAACAGTTCACTTGATTTTGATAAAATAACATTTATATACTCTTTATGCAAAACTTAAAGGATGATTATATGTCAAATATCTTATTGGCCTAATCAATTAAGACTAAAAATTGCCAAAATAATCAACTTGGATTTTTTTTGCTAAAGTCTATAGAATTTTTGAAAATGAGTTGAATACTTTGCACTCATCAAAGCGCTTTAATAGAGTTGCTCAATAAAGATGAGCACCCGACTTAGATAGAATAAAATCTACAAATTAGGGTTTGACCAATCTTATTTTGGCATCTTTGTCTTCTTATTCCTTGAGCATAATTCAACTGCTGGTTCCACTATTCTTTTACCTATTGGTTTCACTACTTTTAGTGCAATGCAATTCACAAGTTGAAGTGGTTTGTTTATCTACAAAGAGTATTTGTCTTGTGGAAACAAATCTCAACTTACTTTAGTGCCCTTACAAAGCTAATTTTAAATAATTAATTGTAACCAAATCTCAGTGTAGAGCTTCAAAATTAGACATGACTTTCTATAATGATAAGTAGATCTTAAATTTAGATATTAATTTTTTTCTTCTTGGATATCTGTAAAGTCTAAACTTGTGCTAATGTCTTAGAGACAATTGAACAAAATTTGCAATTAATATATTTGAGTGCTAAAATTTGAGGGATATTTGTAATTAATTTGTTTAATGTTGAAATCACAAATATTAAATTGATTATGTATTATATCATTGATACATTTTTGGGTTTAATTGACACAGCAAACTAACAAATAGTGAAAAAAAGACTAAGAACTATTTTAATCATGAATCTTTGATAGTAATAAGAACCATCCTGACGAACCACATGCAACTCAAGAAAAGTATAAATACATTTTTAAAAAACTCAACATGTTGCAGCAATTAAGATAACCGTGTTTTATTTTTAAATAATTAAGATAACCTAATCTATGTAGCTAAATGAATTTTCTCAAGATAAATTAATACTCAATACAAAATTTTCAAATATCATAGTCCACAAATCATTATTTCAAATAAAGCAATGATATCAGTTTTCAATTTTGATATTAAGTACTTTGACAAGAAAGAAACAAAGTTTAAAGTTCCAATCATGATAAAATCAACTCTAAGTGCCTAAAATATCATCTAAATAGCTTTCGAGAAAATATCAAATTACATATACCACAATGCCACTAATGATTCTCATTCGAAATTCAAATAGTTTTCAAGGAAATATCAATTCTCATCCGATAGTTTTCAAGAAAATATCAAATCACATATACCATAATACCACCAACAATCCTTATCAGAATGGTTTTTGAAAAAAATATCAAATCACAAATGTTACTAATAATCTTCCATATGCCACCAACAATCCTCTAGTAATGATGTAAACTTCAATAATGATTGAACCATTCAACATGTTACACAGAAAATCGCTTTTAGTAGTTGTAATCATTTTTCTCATAGTATCACTTTTAGCTTTGTTTTAATGCCATATAAAACTTTTTCAAGGTCATTCTTAATTTGGCATGAAAAGAAGGAGGATCCGATTTTCTAATCAATATATTTTTTATACAAGAGAAGGATTGGCTTGTCTAATTCTTCAAAGTTTGCAATTATCTCCTGAAACTCCTTGCTATCAAACTTTGCATAATCATTAAATCTCACTTCCATATGTGTAGTACAATCAATAAGGAGACTAACTTCCCTATTGATTTGAAGGATATGTATCTCTTACAAATACTTTTTTCAATTACAAGTAAGAACTGGTAAATCTCTCATATAGTATATTGTCAACTTGTAGCACCTCTTTGATATTCAGATAGTACAATTTACCTTTCCTATGATACAAAATTTTGAGAGTATCATACTCTTGATTTTTTGAGACACGCAAATTATAAGTACACAAAACTTAAAGAAAATATGTCAATTTATAATATTGATTTTAAGTACTCAAATAAAAGTTCAAATCATAGATAATGGTGAAATCTACAAACCATCACTTAAAATAAAGAAAGATATCAATTTCCAATAATGATTTTAAATACTTTAACATAAAAGAAATAAAGTTTCAATTAAAGATAAAATCAATTACTATCCAAATAATTTTAGAAAAAATATCAAATATCTAATATATCATTCAAAATTCTATGAAGAAAAAAAAGTCAACGTCTAAAATACTATTTAAATAGCTTTAGAGAAAATCAAATGTACTTCAATGCCACCGACAATGCTTCAGTAATGATGGAACCAGTTCCACTAATGATGCAACAATCTAACATGCCATATAGAAAACCATCTTCAACAACTGCAATATAATACTTTTCTCACATTATCGCTTCCAACTTTTTGTTTAACATCATATAAGGATTTTCAAGCCAATCTCAACTTAGCACATAAGGAAGGCAGATCCGATCTTCTAACCACTATATGTTTGACAGATAGAAGGAACCAACTTGCATAGGTTTTCTAGAGCTTGCAATTTTCTTCTGGAACTCCTTGCTATCAAACTCTGTACAATCTCCAAATCTTAATCCTATACGTGCAGCACAATCAATAGGGAGATTGAATTCCTTACTAATTTGAAAGACATGTAACTGCTTTAAAGGATTTAATTGCAAGCAAGAGTTAGCAAATCTCTCATACATCTTATCAATCCATAGCATCTCCTTTGACATGCAAATAGCATAATATGAATCACCTATCACACAAAATTTTGAAAAACTCTTTTATTCCGTCTATATTTTGATATATGCAAATCAATCACAAAACCTATACTTTTTTTTTCCAGAAACGATAGATGAATATATTTCTACTAAGAGAGAATTTACAATATATGAGCAAGGGCTCAAGTTTTGCTTTACAAAAGTGTACTAAGACACTGAGGATCAAAGAACTCCTCATCAAAATAGATGTGCATTGCTTGCTTACTCAGTTTATAACTGAGTGTATTAGTACTACCATTACTAGGCTGGCTAACAAATGAGCATGTCCTAAACATTAAACTTAGATCATTGATGCATTCAAGATGGCCTGCTATACAGATGTTGGTTGGGGCTTGACAGTTTATCACCTTTAAAGTCTGGTTACATGATGTCTGAACCTGTATGTGTTGCCAGCCGTGTTCCTTTAGCTTACAAAGTGCCAATTGTATAGCCACCAAATTGTCCAAAACAACTGATCCAGTACTTCTTTCCCTGAGTATCCACGCAGCACCAATCTGGTTATTTCCATTTGTTGCTGTGATGCCAATTCCCATATTATGTCCTTCCATGTGTTGCCCTACATTTACATGAATGCTCAGGATGTTTCGGTCTAGTTCCCCCGGGTCATTTGCTATTTCTGTTTCGGAGATGCTCATACGTTGCTGTACCTGTAGGCATTGATGATACTCCTCCCAATCGTTCACTGCATTTCGAACAACTTCCATTGGATGCCTATCTTTGCTTTCGAATTCTGCTTCATTCCTAGATTTCCAAATGTGCCAAAGAATGTCCACTGTTAAACAAATGTGTTGCATTCCATCCTTTCGCACCTTTACTTCCATTAACCTACTCCACCACTTCCTGAAATCACTTGTGTACTCATGAAGCCCATCCCACTGTAAAGGAGCCATATTCCATATCAACTTTGCTTTGTTACATTGGAAGAAAATGTGCTCAACTGTCTCATTGGTTTCTCCACACTGCTTATAGATTAGTTCTCCCTTTCCCGTTCTCCTAAATATAGCTTCTCGTACGGGTAACACTTGATGTAGACTCTTCCATAAAAACAACTTGTACTTGTGTGTTATTCTCATTTTCCATAGCTGTTTCCAGATTTTGTTGCTCCCCCCTGTCCAACTTGTTTCTCCCAATCTGCTCACTTGTGCATTAGGCTGCCTATCCTTCTTTGTGAAAGCTTCATAAGCAGATCTGACCGTGTATTTTCCATTTGTGCTATGACTCCAGAAGTAGCGATCAGGTCTACTTGTCACACTTATAGACGTTTTGAGTATATTCCTAGCTTCATGTGGGCTAAAGGTCCGGAAGATGAGTGGTGCTTTCCATCTGAAGTTGGAGATCAGCTCGCTAACTTTTGTGATCTTGCATCCCAGGGGTTTTGGGGCTTCTACCTTTCCTTCCTTCCCATCCAGTAGCCAAGCATCTTCCCAAATGTTGGTGCTCTTCCCATTTCCAATTCTTTTCCTAACTCCACCTACACCTCGTCTCTTGATCCCATTAGACTCTTCCATATCCATGATACATTTCCTCTTACTTCACAAACTAGTGGTGATGTGTTGGGGTAGTACTTGGCTTTCAGCACTTTACTAAGCAATAGGTTGGGGCACGTGAGAATCCTCCAAATCTGTTTGCCTAGCAAGGCTTTATTAAAGCCTTGGAGGTCTTTAAATCCTAGTCCTCCATTATTCTTTGCAGTGGACAGCTTTTTCCATGAACACCAATGCATTTTCCTCTTCCCATTATCCTCCCCCCACCAGAATCTTGCCATCATGGCATTGATGTCTTTGCATAACTTTACTGGAAACTTAAAACATGACATTGCGTAAGTTGGCATTGCCATGGTTACTGCTTTCAACAACACCTCCTTTCCTGCTTGACTTAACTGTTTGTTGGACCAGTTGAAGATCGTTTTGTTGCATTTTTCTCTAATGAACCCAAAAATTTGGTCATTGGTATTAGTGATGACCATTGGCAGCCCTAAATACTTCCCTTGCTTCACCACTTTTATATGTTCCAAGCAACTGTAGATTTCTCTTTGATCATTTTGTTCCACATTTCTACTAAAGAACACTGAGAATTTTTCCATGTTGATCACCTGTCGTGAGCCATGTTCATAAATCTTCAAAATTCTCCTCACTTCTTCAGCTTGCCTCTTGTCTGCTTTGCAAAAGATTAACGAGTCATCTGCGAAGAATAGATGAGTTATTGACGGGCCACTCCTACTGATCCTCATCCCAGTTAGCTTTTTGTTCCTTTGTGCTCGATCCAGCAAGTGTGAAAAGCCTTGTGAGACTAAGAGAAATAGGTAAGGTGACAAAGGGTCGCCTTGTCTAATTCCTCTTGAAGGTATGACATATCCTTTAGGCTCTCCATTTATGTTGAAGGAAAAAAAAGCTGTTGTGATGCACTCCATAATCCAAGTGATCCATCTAGCACAAAATCCCAGTTTTACCATGATTTCCTTAAGATAACCCCACTCAACCCTATCGTAAGCTTTCGACATATCTAGTTTTAAGGTCATAAAACCATGAGATCCTTCTCTTTTGTTTTTGAGGTAATGCAAGTACTCATGAGATTTGATCACGTTATCCAAAATCTGCCTTCCAGGAACAAAAGCAGCCTGATTTGTGCTAATACATTTTCCCAAAACTTTTTTCAATCTATTTGCTAAAATTTTTTAAATGATTTTATACAGCACATTACACAAACTTATAGGCCTGAACTGCTTAACCTCAGTGGGGTTCTCAACCTTGGGAATAAGGGATATGTTTGTGTGATTCATAGCTTTCAACATATGACTCGAATGAAAGAAGCTTTTAATGGCTTTTATGATGTCATTTTTAACAATGTGCCAAAATTTCTGAAAGAACAGTGGTTTCATGCCATCAAGACCAGGGGTTTTGGTTGGGTTCATGGAGAAAAGTGCAGCTTTAATTTCTTTGTCCTTGACTGGTTGGGTTAGTTCAGAATTCATGTGGTCTGATATTGTCTGTGATATTCCCTCCAAAGTCATATCAGTTTGAGTCACTCCCTTACTTCCGAATAGCTCCTTAAATTGATTCACAACTTCTTCTCCAATTTCCTCTTTCGATGTAGTCCATGTGGTGTCCTCCCTTTGTAGCCTCTGAATTTTGTTTCTGTGTCTCCTTCCTTTGACATTAGAGTGAAAAAAATGAGTATTTTTATCCCCCTCCTTAAGCCACTGCACTCTTGATTTTTGACTCCAGAAAAGTTCCTCTTCATCGTAAGCCTCCTTTAATTGTCTTCTAAGATCCCTGTTCCTTGCCATTTTGTCATCACAGTCACAAACTTTGAGCTCCTCCAGTAACTTTTTCAGATTGTCAATCCGCTTCCTAGCATTTCCTTGGAAGTTATTTTTCCACTTCAGTAGCGCCAATCTGCAGTTTGTTACTTTCTTATGCAATTTGTACATATTGGAGCCTGTTTGCTCCTCCTCCGACGCCTGACTGATCACTTGTTCTAGCCTCTCTTTTTTCAGCCAACTTTTATCAAAAATGAATCACTTCTTTCTCTTTTCAGTTAGAGGGTTTGAATCTATAAGCATCATACTATGGTTTGATCCAACATTGTCTATACGTCTAACTAGAGTTCTGTCAAACACTTGGCTCCAAACATTACTTTCCAAAGCTCTATCTAGCCTTTGTTTGATTTCACCTTCTTGAGTCCAGTGGTTACTCCATGTCCAGGGGTTGCCTTCAAAACCAAGATCAATTAGTCCATTTTGTTCAATGAAGTTCCTAAAATCTTGAAAGGTTCCTTCCTCTCTCTTTCTACCACCCCATTTCTCCTCATTTGATGTAATGTCATTAAAATCACCCGTAATCATCCATCTAGGACCCCATAGAACTTTCCTTCGTTGTACTACTTGCCACTGATTCCTTCTAACTTGATTATCCGTACTTGCATAAATTTCAATGAGCCACCAGTCCACATTCTTGTCGGTGTCCATAATGTGGATTTCCATAGCGAAAGCAGTTGTTTGGACCTCCATAACTTTAACCTCATTGTTCCACATTACTGTCATACCACCTGACTTATTCATAGACTCTACCACTACACACTCATCAAACCGCAGTTGTCTTCTCACTTTCATCATAAACTGTTGTCTGTTTTTAGGCTCACACAAAAAGACCATATTGGGGGAGAAGAGGTTGCAAGCCTCCCTCAGCTGGGAAATTGTCAAGGGGCTCCCAGCACCTTGGCAATTCCACACCAGTACTTTCATTCATTCATGGGTGGCCAAGAAAGGCTGGCCACCGCCTCTTCATATTGGCTTACACCGCTATCTGGATCATCCCCCTTTTTCCACTTTTTTTCAACTATTTCAGTGACTTCCACATCCACCATATCTTCATCAGTCAGGTGGAATTTTCTCTTTCTCATAGTCTCTTTACTCAGCCTAGTAAGCTGAACCTGTCGCATGGATTTCCTCTTTATCATTGGAGCTTTTAACTGTTTCCCTGATCTTCTAGTCATTCCTTTGTTACTGGGTGTCTCCATCACATCTGTCTGATCTTCCACTTGCATGCCCACAGCTTCAGGTTCCTTAGAGGATAGTTGTACCTCCTTGTCCAGGACTATATCTAACTGACCGCCACATATTCTCCCTTCAAGCCTCTCCTGTGTCTGTTTTTCATTTCCCTTACTGTTATCCATCTCCTCACCCCTGTCTTCCATATTTTCTAGTTCCTGAATTGTCACTACGCCATCTGTTTGTATATTCCCCCCAACAGGTCCACTATCCTTACGTGCATTCTCATCCTCCCTAGCCTGACTCCTCTCCATTAGCTCCCTTTCACCTGTTTTTGGTACCAGCTCGCCATCCTCAAAGCCCCACCTTTGCTTGTGAGGGGAAATGTTAGCAGGCTGCCTCCCTCTCCTTTCCTTTTGAGGCAACAATTTCCCCATCCTGCTCTCAACCATGGCCCAAATTGATTATCCTGCTGGCCTCTTCCACCTAAACTACTATCGGAGCAGTTCCTTTCGCTATGTCCTATTTTGCCACATGTATAATAGAAATCAGGTCCCCTCTCATATTTGAAACTTAACCACTTCACTTTTCCTTCCATCTTCACCATGGTACCTCTCATAAGAGGTTGGGAGATGTCAGCCAGCACAAGTAATTTGATGTGCCTCCCTTCCTTTCCTCCTCCTTGAGGGATAATCACTTCCTTAGTTTCATGAAAAATTGATGCTATTTTTTTCCCACCTCCTTAGAAATCCAGTGCACTGGGAGATTCCACACTTGTATCCATAATGGAGCGAGGTTAAAATCAGCGCCTTCCTCTTCAAATCCTTCAAACCAAGGTTTAATAACTAAGATCTGGCGATCAATAATCCATGGACCTCTCTTATAAATTCTTTCTCTATCCTTCTCACTTGGTATAAAGAACTGGAAAGTGTTTACACCTACTTCCACTACCCTGAGACCTTTAGGGTAGCCTCACGCTAGTGTAACAAAATTTTTCACTCCCACGAAATTTATGATTTTCTCACCCATTACCTTCCCAACCACTTTCCTTGCACTCCTTCACACTTGTTCCCACATCTCCCAAGTCCAGCTCTGTTTCTCCCCTTTCTTTGTTGAAAAGTTCAAATCTTTCCAGTATCTCAGCTAATTCCTCCGCCATGACTCCTACTGAAGTTCTAAGAGGGAATATCACAGTTCAAAACTAGTCCAGAACAAAGAAACTAGAAGTGGGGGATGGCTGACCCCAGAGGGACTCCTACCAACAAATGTACCAAAAGTGTGCTTCACTGAGGGTAAGCAGTTCAGGCATACAAGACCGGAAGCCCTCTCAAACGCCAAACTTACTCCCTTTGTATCAAAAAACCATGAAAAGAATCAGGCACCACATGTTTGCTATGATGAACCAACAAGACTAGAAAGTTTGGGAAAAGATAGTTTTTTTTATAACATTTCCTATTTTCAGCCCCCCCTTTTTTTAAATTAAAAGCTCAGTAAAAAAAACAAAGAAAACTAACAGGCAGAAAAAAACTTGCAGCTCAAGAGTACATGCAGAACCTTGAAAGAACCTTGGAAAACAGCCTTAAAGATACCTGTCGTAGCTTGGAGTAAAGTTCCTACAGGGAAGGTAGTGTAATGCCTGCACTTTGCTGCTTCCGTTTGTCCACCAATCAGAACTAAAGTTGAGATCTTGTCGATAGTGGAGTAATGGTAGATCTAAGAATGTCGAAATGCCTTTTAATGCTAAAGTGGGTGTTTGTATTTAGTGCTGAGATTGTTCCTCTGTTTGCAGACACAAAACGCTTCAGTACCCTTCCAAGGAGGAAGATTGGCATGCGAATACTTCTGCTTTCATAGAAGTGAGCAATAAGTCTTCGCTTGAGAGATTATTGTATGTGATAGTCTGAACTAAAACTCTTAGAAATGCTACAACACTATGCATAAAAAGATTTCACTATTGGGATTAATAAGTACAGCCCCAACACTTTGTTCAATATTTGTAAAGCCAACATCAAACAACAAGGTCCTAATGTCCATGACATTTAGATGAGATGGGGAGTTCAATCTAGCAATGTAAGAAAAAATTATTACTAGGGTGACCACACTTTAGAAAAAATAAAATAACTGGCCGATCCAATTTAGAAAATTAAATGGAATTTGAGAAAATCGATTAAGATCCAATTTTAAAATTTGGTTAAATAATTTGGGAATGGGCATTCAAATTCGATTCCCAAACTTTTGATTGCCAATCGAATTACCAAATTTTATATTTTAATTAAATATCTTATATATTTCATGCCTACTAATATATCATCTTACATATTAATATATTAGTCAATAGTGTTATAAGTTATAATTTATAATTTATGCTTATAAACAAACATGTGACCCTAAAAGCATATTAACTAATATATTAATAGCTTTTATATTTTTAATTACATCTTAAATACACTTAACTAATCTAAATTACAAACCCAATCTAAAATTTTGGATATTTTACTGAAATATCGACTATCCAACTGAAATCCAATTACCAAAATCCAATTGCTAAATAAATCTTTGGACGATAAATCGATATTGACCTTATTGAAAAAATCCAAAAATTTTAATTTTTTAACCAAATTATAGATTACTGGCCAATGAAAACTCCTAATAATTATAGCTTCAGGTTGATCATCAACTATCATGCTAGTGACCGACAAGAAATGAACAAAGTTGGAGATAGGCATATCTCCCTCTAGTGTAATACTGTGCATAGATACGTTTTTAACTTCATCCAAAATTTCATATTAGGAGTATGGTGGTCGAAATAATTCATTAACTTTCCTATATTCATGGTTATAAGGAAAATCAAACAAAGTTTGTCAAAATTGATATGAAAAAGATGACTAATGTATTTACAATTAACTAAAATAGATATTAAAGTATCCATTAATAGGAAATCATGTTTACCCGACAGTATTCAAAGCCACTAACAATGAAAAGTTTGTGGACCTTATCATGATTAGGCCACAGCTGTCCTTCCAATATCATAACTTTTACCCCTAACTAATGGCAGGACCAAGATCCTATACCTGTAACACAACATAGTTTTGCAATACTACAATTCATACGATTTTTATGTTGCAAAATCAATTTATTGCTAAAACATTTTTCAAACATGACTAACTAAACAATCTTTCAACAATCAATGTCCCATTGATTACATAACTACCTTTCTACAAAAAAAAAGGAAAAAATTCTCTCACCAGTTGCACTTGCAACAAATAATATATCAACTAAGTTTTAAAGAGATAGACAAATAAATATACAATAATTATTTTAATTTATTTTGAAATATTTTACAAGCTCTTAAAGTTTTTTATAATAATTTTTCTAAATATTTTAAGAGCTACCAGCCATTTGAGGTTTTTGATTAAAAATCAATCTATAACTTTATAGCAAAAAAAATTTGTAAATGAAAGAGGTAAATGTTATACAAATTTATCTTATGTGTGACAGCCCCACCTTCCCTTAGGGTGTACCCTAAGAGTTAGTTGACTGCCAGCCCAACTCTCGCTAAAACTCATCAATCCAAAATTTTCAGTAGGCACACAAAAACGAACATAATTTCAAAATATCACAACCCAATACTATATACAATGGAGTCATTAACGATTCAAATTTAGAGTACAAGTCAAAGTATTCAATCTTAGACAAATACATATGAGATTTACTAATGCAGAGGAGTTAAACAAAACACTTAAGATCTAAAACTAGCTCAGCTCTTCCCAAAATCACCATCCCAAATCTTCGCCCCTAAAAGGAAAACAAGGATAACGGAATGAGTTTTCACTCAATAAGGTATCATAGGGTAATGCAGTCAGATATAAATGAGAAAACAAAATCAAATAGATTAGTCATTAAGTTATCAAACATGAATATCAATTAAAGAGTCAAACAAA